TATATATATATATCATTATATCATTATATCATTTAACATTAATATAAATACATAAATGCCAGCAAATTTTATTTGTAACATTGTAATGATATATAAAAGAAAAATATGAAATAATGTAGTGCCTATTATATATTTCATGAAACTTTCACTATCATTAATTTGTATTGTTTATGTATTATTTAATAGTACTTGTATAAAATTACTCACATGCAATAAAATGAATTACATTTTACTTACTTTACATTCACGAGCCGTTTCATTAGTAGAACACCAATAAACAGGTCCCCATGTACAATGCTTTATACGATTTTTTTCATATGATCGTTTAATTCGTAAATTTTCCAAAGACACTGTTGAATAATCTTTGGGTGCGCAAAGACCCATTTTACTACAAATTTTATCAATATGTTCACCTCTTTTAATAAGATTTATTATGCTTTGTCCATAAGAATTAACAAGTATAGTACACTAAAAACAAATTTCATAAAAATTGAAGTTAATTAATAGTTAATTAAATTAATTAAAAATAAAAAAAAATTCAAAAACAAAAAAAATATATATTACATTTTTTTACCTTATGTTCCATATTTGATGGTAAATATTGACATACTTTAGATATTGCTTTTTCAATGTTATCGTCAATAGTTCGATCATTTATTTTCGATATAATTGTTTTGCACATAGCACATTCTGTTACAGAAGCTACCATTACAATAAATTATCATTATTATATATATATATATATATTTATATTTTAATTTATTGTTTATATTTTAATTCATTTATATTTTATTATAATAATATTTTATAATAATTAATAATTATTATTATTAAATTTTTTATATACCTTTCATTTCTTCTATCAATTTTGTACATAATCCAAGGAAAGAGCAAACCTGCTTAGGACTAACATCTTTTGTGATAATATCAATTATAGAAGAGGCATATTTATTAACAAACCTGTTACATGGTTTATGGATAGTCTTTGGAAGATGATTACATACATTATGCACTGCATTTTCAACTTTACTCTTTTCTCTATTATTACCAAGAAATTTATCAATATAATGCATAGCAAATTCACAAACAACACAATCTACATTATCTATATCATCTGATATTTCAGTACTTATTGGATTATTTGGTATTTCATTAGTTACTAAAATAAAAGATATATTTTTAAAAAATATCGTAAAAATTTTATAAATAGCAATTTTCTTAATTTATAAAAAATTTTTATATAAATGCAATTATAATATATAATACATACAAATTTCACCATCTTTGTCAGTAATAAATTCACTTCTTAGACCAAAATGTTCAGTAGGATCACATAATTTAATATAAACACATACTTCTTGAGGTGTTAAATCTGCCAATAATAATTCTATAAGTTCTTTACTATAACCTTTGACTAATTCTGTACATTCATCAACTAAACTATGTGGTAAGTGAATACATAATTTATCCAATTGAGCTTCTATGTTTGCCTATACAATATTAAATAACAATATAATACATTCAATAATGTTATATATTTAAATATTTAGAAATATATAAATAATATAATAATTATTGTAACCTCGGTCTTGTTGTTTTTTATAACATCGTAAATTTGTGTTACAGCAAGTAAACATAATGGACAACTAGGTTTGTTCTGTACTTCTTCAAGCATATACTTCTTTGGAATACTTTGCCACATTTTCATTAATTTTTCATCTGGGCATAAATGCAACAATGAACAGACCTGTAAATAGCACTTTAAAATTTTCTATATATTTGATAAACAATTTGTAATAAACTTGTAAACTAACTTGAGATGGATCAATTTCTTGAGCCAAAATAGCTACAATAGCATCTCCATAAAGATCTACAAATTGTATACATTGATCTGATATAGATTCTGGTAATTTCATACATACTTTTTCTAATGATGTTTTTACTTTTTCCTGAAGCATTAATATTATTTTAATATTATATAATATTATATATTTTTTATTAATATATTATGTAAAAAATATATAAATAAATATTCTAAATTTATTACTTCTGTAGTAGGATTTGTAATAGCTTCTTGTATAAAATGCAATATATATTCACATAATGCACATGTTTCTTTTCCTTGAGTCCCTAACGACCCTTCTGACATAGGAAATGGTACTAATCTTTCAATAGGCAATTGCATTGTTTCAGCTTGTGATTTATTCAATTCTTCATTATCACTTTTCAAATTTTCATTTGCATTTTGGAAAACACGCATTCCTATTTCACCTGCATCTCTAGGTACTAAAGGCCAAATTGGCTCATTCTATTTAATATATAATTTTTTAATTAATATTATTTTATTAATGGCAATTATATTAAAATATAGAAGTATATTGCATTCTGATGGATTCAACTTCCAAAGCAGAATATTTATATTCAATGTGAAATAAATAAATAAAGTGAAATATAATGATACCCGTATTTGTTTATATTAGATAGTCTCTATTCACAAAGACAAAAACTGGCAGATGACTAAATTAAAGGCAGAATTTTGATTAGAATGCAAGATAGTTCTATATACAATTAAATTGAAAAAAATTTATTGACCTGTACTGTTTTTCCTGGAATAGGACATATTCCCATCATTTGACAAATAATATTAGAATTTAGACCTTTCTTAAGATATTCATATATTTGTGGATAATATTCATCAACTATAGCAATACACTAAAAAAACATATATATGTATAAGATTAAAAATTGAACTATTATGTGAAATATATATAGTTATAATTCAGTAATATTTATTACCTCAGTAGAAAATGACTTGGTTTGTTTGCATAATCCTTTCAATACTTCTTCAAATTCTGTTTCTGTAGTATTAGCTACCAAAAGATCTCTTAAGTGTCCTACAAGTTGTTCACACAATTTACATGGAAGATCATCATTTACATCGACCATACCTACACTTGAAAGTGGTCTAATTTCTACTTTTAAAGTCTAAAATACAAAAAATATATATATATATATTATTTAATTAGTTATAATATTTGAAAATATTTGAAAATTATTTTTAATTATATATTTATATATCTTTTAAAATTTACTGTATCAATATCTTCATGTTTGTGAAATTTATTACTACACTGGCCAGATAAATGACAAATATTTTGAGCATTGAAATTCTCTTGTAAATGAGTATATAATGTATCAAAGTAAGTTAGAATTGTAGCAGAACAGGCATCTGAATAACTATTAAATTCTGCACATAAATTAAGCATTTGTTGTAATATTTTATCACGAGGAGTGTTATTTAATTTATGCTCCATATGTGCTGCCACAGTGAAACATTTTGAACATTCATCAGGTTCAACTTCATCTTTTTCCAAAGAACGAGATTTCAATTCTTTAATCTAAAATACAATATTTTCAAAATATTTTAACTCAAGTAATTATAATATATAATTTTAATATATATTTATATTTATATTTATATATTTGTACATATAATTATTTTATTGAATAAAAGTATAATTTAATTACCTCGGGTTTGGATGATTCATATTTTACAATTAATTCATCTATATGAGCAGAATTGCAAAGTCCAGCAACAGAACAAATAATAGATGGATTCATTTGAGATGCCAAAGTTTCAACAAGCTCTGGAATAAACTGATCTACAATTGTTATACATTCTTTCACAATTGGTTTTATATGAATAAGTTTACAGCTTCCTTCGAAAACACTCTTTATGTCCTCTTGAGTTTGATTGCTTTCTAATTGATCATGAGCTTGTTGAATCATGTCCTTACAAATAGTACAAACACTATCATCATCATTTAGTACTTTCATATGTTTCCATACTTTATCAATGCAATGTTTAGTTGCATTACATCCACTTGCAGTTCTATATTTATATATGACAAAATGATTTAATATTAATTTAATTCATAATAATATATTGAAAATATAATTTATTGAATGAAAAATTATTTATATTATTATTTAAAATTAAATATTAATAAAAAATCTATTATGAAGCTAAAAATTATATAATATATAATAGAAATTTAGTTAATTAAATATAATTAATTAAATATCAATGACAATATAATATTATTAATAATATATATATATATATATATATATTATAATATTTAACTCAACCTACTTAATGTTTTCACACCAATATGAAGGTCCCCATGTACATTCTTGTTCACCCAAAAGATGAAGATCTGCTGGACCCTCAGCTTGTATTACTACTCCTGCTTTACAAACTAAAATATATAATAAATATATTTAAATATTATAAAATATTATATAAGAATCATAGAAATAGATTGAAATGATTTATAGAAATGAATTAAATGATTTATAGAAATAAATTGAATATAATGAATTAATTTTTTTAGAACACAACATTCTAAGAATAATATAAAAACAATGTATTTAATATTTTTATTTAGAATAATATAATTGGAAAGAAACATATAACAATTTGAAAATATATTTAAGAAGAATATTCTAATCATATATTATTCTATAGTACATGCTTAATTGTTAAGCACTGATTCATCTGATTCATCTGAATAAGCAAATCCTATCTTATGTGACTAATGATTATAAAATGTACTAATAATAATATAATAATATAATAAAATTAATGTTATTTTTCATAGTGTAATAAGTTTAGTTTAAAAAAAAATATAATTTCAATAATATTATGATTCCAAGATACAATAATAATATTGCGTGACAAAAATTCGAAAATTATAGCATAAAAAATATATTTTCGAAAGAATAAAGATAATATATAAAAAAAACAATATAAAATTACGTCGCAATTAAACAAAGAAAAGGATTAAATTAATGCAGAATAATCAAAATACTTACCAGCAACGATCGCGCAAAGCGCAATCAAAATGTTCATCTTTACCGTTTTTCAATCTCGTTGCGACAAGCGTACCAATACAAACTTAAGAATTTAATGATTATTTCTTTGTTATTTTCTTATACGTATTAATGATACTGTTCAAAGATGACGTACAATTACCCTTGTAAAAAGTTCCGTATTAGAGAATTCTATCGATGTATTGCTTAACATTCATCCACCAGGCGCTACTGTCAAGTGACTGTTTCTAGCGTTTATACGTATTCTTTGACCGATGTATTTCTCATTCCCTCTCTTTCTATGATACTAAATAGCCAATAGGAGTATAACATTCTATCACGTGATATGAATCTTCCTTATTCATTGATACAAGAATAAGTTTATATTGTTACATTCTTAAATTGTGAGACATCATTAAAATTTCGTTGAATTAGAAATCCATATTCATATCATTTTTTTATGGAAAAAGTTAAAATAATTATGGTTCCATATTAGAAATTATCGAATTGATTTTCACTAAAACAAATAATATTCGTAGTGTCATCTATCGGAGTGTACATAAAAAGTGCGTGATACAAAAAAGAATTGTCATGAAGTTAAAGTGTTGTTTTCTTTTTCTCATCGTGATTTAGTGTTTTCATATAATTTATTTTATAATAAACAAAAAAAATAAACTTAAAACAAATAAAATTAATAATAGAATTATTTCTTACAAAGCAAAAAGATTGTTATCGGGTCTGAAGTATATATATAATATTCGATAACAAATAATTAAATTTAAGATAAATGACATTTTGATCGATTGCAATGTTCGATATTCCTTTGTGACAGAATAGTGCAAATGATGAATTAAATTAAATTATTTTATATGAAATTTTTATTGTTTCATTTAATTAAAAAGTATATAAAAATAATTTTTGTGTTTGTTATATTCTTACAATATTGTAATATAAAGATTGTAATATAAAGATAATTTGACATCTTAAAATGAAATGTGTTTTGGTTATTTTTTGTATCAAATATCAAAAGTGTATTTTTATATACAAAATATTATGCAAAATTAAACTTTAATCTGTTTTTATCGTATTAATAACTAATTATTAATATTTCTAATTAAATATTAAAAATATATGTATAATTAAAAAATTATGTTATTATTAATACATAAAAATAAAAATACAATAATTTCGAAATTATAAAACATAATATATTTTCAAATTTATATAACTATATTCAGATTTGTTTTGTAAGTTTCCGTTAAAATAAAAAAATATCCATATAAAGAGATAAAAGTAAATTATATTATAACATTAAATTCCTTATGTTCGCATTATCGTTTTACATTTTGTCGATATAATAACCGTTCGATATTAACCATTAAAAAATAAAATGTTTACTGATATAATATCATGTTTTAATATTAAATATTGTAATAATATTGTATTTCATATTTTCATATATTTAATATATTTCATATATTTTATTACAATTTTCAATTTTACTATAAAAAGATAATTTTATATATCAATCCTATATTTATTCAATTTCTATAAACATTTATGATCTTTATTTGCAATTCATAAATATAACTTGAGAAATATTGTCATTATTATAATTGATGTAATATCAAACATAAAATAGATAGATATTTCAAATTAATATATTCAAATTATTTCAAATTATATATTATATATTTTATTTTTAAATTTTGAACATCATGAAGTAAGTAATATAATTGTATGTCAGAATGTCAAAGTTCAACCATATTTGAGAGTTGAAGGACAATGATTTGCTGTAGATAATACGTAATATAAACATATAAAAAAACTCTAAACAGTGATGTTACTTTAACGTATTATTATCATGAAAAGTATTAAAAACTTTGTGCGATAAATCCATAAAAGATATTTCTAGAAATAAAAATTATGTATTTTAATTAGAAGATTAAAGTTTATTATAGTTTAATCTATGTTATTAAAAAAAAAAATGAATGTTTAAATAATATTGATTTTTGATTTTTCCATTCATTAAAAATAAATCAATTATGTCCATTTACTTATTCATATTATTATGATGTTGAGAATTATTATTATAAAATATATAATTATAATATTATAAAGTACAATTTGTACATTTTTAAAAATAAAAATTTTTAACATCTGTACTTTAATTTTTGAAATTTCATTATCGAGACACGATATTTTTTCTTTTTCTTTGTTAAATATGAAATATAGTGAATTTTGTATTTTTATTATGAAGTAAATCTAATAATTATTTAAATGAAATTTACATAATGATATAATAAAATAAAATATATGAATAAATATATGATATAATAAATAAAAAGAATTTTAATTAAATAAATTACTTTTAATCAAAAAAATGTTAAATAAATGAACTAAGTGTGAAAGTTTTGTTGTATTTAACTTGCTCATGGTTCAGAAAATGTTAATTCATAAATATTATATTTATATTTTATTTTTAATATTTATATTAAAAATTTTACATAAATTATTCTTAAAAAAATAATACTTCAA